GTTGTCCAATCTTCATAGAAAAATTCTTGAAATTCATAGAGAAATTCTTGAGGTTTGTTTGAAACGGTTTGACAAACAAACATTCGCCCAAGTTATGTGGGCAGCTAAATATGACAGGACAGGGAGTGAGACGGGGAGAGGGACAGGGAGAGTGGGAGCGTGTGGGCGAGGGTGACGGTGAGGGTGAGGATGAGGGCGTGAGTGCGTGAGCGAGCGAAGATGTGTCGTGGGGCGGCGAAATTGGAATGGTCCCCAAAGCCAGCGATTCAGGACATGTAGTGGGTAAGCGTGAGAGTGAGAGTGAGAAGAGTGAGGGAGAGAGTATAGAGGGCGAGAGGTTCGCAGTGATGAGGGAAAGAGGGGGAGGGAGGGAGGGAGGGAGGGAGGGAGGGAGGGAGGGATAGAGAGAGAGAGAGAGAGCAGCAGCAGCAGCAGCAAAACTTCCACTACAAGATTCTGTGACATCCTCGTTGGACAGGTTGGCAACAACGTGACCATTGAATTGGACAGGTTCGACCTGCTGGAGCACCCAAAGCTTATCTGCGATCTTGATCTCATACCAATTCGGATAGTTGAAGGAGTCACTGGTGGTTGATCGCACCCGACCAGGACCTGGTAAGTTGTAAGACCCCTGGCCTGAGCACCTTGATTTATGCCTATGACTGACCCTGCCTCGTTCTGCTATGGCCTGCCCTGCGCCGCTCCTAGTGGTCGCAAGAGCACGCTGCTTTGGCCGCGAAGGGGCAGCGGGCTCCGGATCAGGTGGCGGCAAAGGGGCCCGATTAGGCCCGCTGCGGGCGGCCAACGCACTTGGCGGGGGTGGGGGCATGCCGCTGCGTCCCGGCAGCCCAGCCGCCATGTTTGGCGGCGGTGGCGGCGGATCCTTTACCATCTTGCAGGACCCCTGACAGTGTCACAAAGACCGGAGATGACAAGCAAAAAACCCTTGGACCAGGAGCGTAGCGAGCCAAGAACGCAAAGATGCTTTGGTGCGCAGAAGTCAAACGACCAGGTGTGGAAGCGACATATCAAGCACTATACTTCAACATGGTATGCGAAACACGCGCTCGCAGATCAAAGTCGAGTCTATTGAATTGGGCCCTTGCGGCCTCCATGCTTCTGAGATCCAGGGTTCTAAGATGCCTGAGCAGCTTCGATCTTTGTGATCAGTTCTGACAAAGGGGTCGGAGGACCCTTGCGTCGCAGGCATGTAAGAATGGAGCCCATGACGCAGCCCACATTCGGGACACACATCGAATTTCCCAGAGCTCGCCGAGCATCAAACCAGGACATGCCTGGCACTACAGCTGGGAGTTCCTTTGACAGGTGGCTTGCGTGACAAGCCAAAGGAAAGGTTGGGAAACCCATGGACAAGTACATTTCCGGAATGGTCACATGCCGTCTCAAACCCAGGTTGTAGTACACGGAACCTGCTCTTCGGATGGTCGGCCATTTCCCGCTCACTGCGGACCAGTTCGCCCAGCCCCCGCCTGGGTTGTCGCCTAGGTGGCAGACTACATTTGGCAAGGTCTCCTTAGGCTTGCCGAGCATGGACTCATACTTGTCGTAGTAAAGCTTCAAGTGCTTCAGCTCGTTCTGAAGTAGGACAGCTTCATTGGATCCACACCCAACAAGCTTTCGCTTCTTCTGCCGAGTTGAGCTTCGAAGGAGCTCTGCATCCAGGGCTACGTCTTCTGGCGAGGCCACCAATACACTCTTCGGCCTTATTGAATTGCTGCTGTCACGACATCCAAAAATCACAACAGCAAAAAGTTCCATGCAATCCACGGGTGTCTCTGACCTGCTTCGACTCAACTCAATCCACAGACAGTTTCTTGACAGACTCGGGCAGTGTGCTTCTTTAATCTATGCGCAAGGACAGGAGAAAGCCGGGTGAATGCACAAGGGTAACCCTGCAACTGGGGCGAGAACTTGAGAGGTAAGTCTCTTTTGCAGCAGTGGTGGATGTACTCCAGGAGCATGTTCGCATCTTGAAGCTCCTCGGCTTCATCGACACTCCACGCTGCCATATATCTCCTCGAAGGTTGTTTGTAAAGTCAATTATAGTCATTCAGCCACACACGTATTACTGATTACAGTCATTACAGCAGCCTGTCGATACGGGGGCCGTGGAAGGAAGAGCCTTGGGCCTCAGGTGGGCAAGTCCGTTTGCAAGCATCCGTCCTGGTGCGGCTGATGTGCTCGAACCCTACATCAGAAGGCTGGACGATGGAATTGATGCTCCACCGAAAGCGATCACCAAAGGCATCCTTCACCAGCTCGTCTGGGCATTCAGCCACGTTCTCGACGCACACACAAGGGCTTCTGCAGTGCCGCGCTTTGGCCCCGAATGCGAAGACCGTTGAGAGCATCGGCCCCTCACGACCAGCCTTTCGCCCAATCACGGACCAATCGGTGCAGGGGAAACCACCCACCCGGCTGGAAGCACCAGTATGCAGGGAGCAATACCCTCCGTGCGTCTCACACCATGCCGTCTCGTGGCAGGGCTGGGCCAATGCCCAATCACGCTTCTCCTCATAGGATGGATTGGCGTCGAAAGCAGACTGAGCCACGGCTGGGTCGTCGTGCCACACACTTAGCACGTTCCTGAATCTATGCGTTTCCCTTGGAAGCTTGAATCGCAATGCCTCCATCATCTTTGAATCGAGTTCCTGGACCAGAGCAATTGTTGTTCTTACGAACCAACGAGCACAGAAGCCCAGGCAAATCTAGTAACAGCAAGGACGGCAAACAAAACACCAACATGCACGCTTCAAGTAAGTGATCAATGGACATGAGTGCTGCCACGAATCACACACCGACTGTGGCTCCAACTGTACAGGCATGCCACGTGCTTCGGCTGCGACTCTGAGGAGATGGGCTGCCGTCTCCCAAGCCGCGGCTCCGCCCGTGAACTCGGAGTCCGTCCCTGTGCCCTGGCAAAGAAGGCTTCGTCGAAGCACCCCCTCTGGCACAACGCTCGCTGCGCAGTTCAACACCACGTCGGCCCACCCAAACCGGGTTGCCAGCTGAGTTGAGGCATCCATCGCTGGCTTGGGCTTTCCGGCCCCGGACACACCGGGAAAAGCAACGGACAACGGCAGCAATGCTACAGCTACATGCTACAACCCATGTTCTACAATCCTTCGAGCTCGACAACAGGGCGTTCATTAAGTCAACTATGATTGAGAGTGGAGCAAAATCCTCTGCTGAGCCCTGCGCTTGAGGAGGCAGGCTACATGTTTGCGACGCCTCTGGCGCCCACATGGCATACCACATCCCCTTCTTCTTGCTGGGGTTGCCAGCGTCGAAGAGAACCTGCTTGCAGGAACACGACACGACACTCACCGAAACCAGCCTGTCATCATTCTGGACTTTGCAAAAGCACTCACGCGACTTACCTCTTTGCCCTAACAGCAAGCAGTCAAAGACCTCATCATGTCATATTGCAACACAAACACAACCTTGCAGCGAGAAGTCAGCTGCTCAAGTACTGTCCCTGATTCATTGCATGCAGCATCTACAGCTTCTGTGGCAGGATGACTGGCCCGCAGGAAGCATGTCAACATGCCGACACCGAGCCTGGTAGTAGTTCTTGTCTTTGTAAACGTGTCGAACACGATCAATGTAGCAGGACTGGAGCTCCTCTCATACGGAAACTAGGTTCTTCGGTTCGATTCAAGAAAACAACAACAACAACAACAACAACAACAACAACAACCAACAACAACCAACCACAACCAACAACAACCAACAACAAC